GTCGGGACTGGCCATCAATGTTTACAGATGGGTCCTGGTACAAAAAATGTTGAGAACCACTGGATTAAGCCATACATTTTCTTATTGCATACCCTCTCCTCTTCCAGATTTACCAGCTGCCCATATACCCCTACCAGCATATTGTAACCTCTTCAATGCCACTTATTAGTATAATGAAAATTAAACCTGTCATTACACAATTTCTTCTGCATACCCTGTCAGATGTCTTGGTTACCCAAGAGGTACTTATACCACAGTTTGGGAACCCCTGGGTTAAGCAGTCCCTCTGTCCCCAATCCAGCCAACATGTGCACCCCTAAGTTAGCTCTTCTGTCTCCAGTCTTCCAACTCTGGAAATCCCAAAGCTTCAGACTGCCTGCCTCCCCTAGGCAGACATCTACTTGTTCCCCCTGCTTTGTCTGTTGTCGTGCTTATCTCATTCAGCTTCCCTAAAGCCTCCTGGGGGTCACCAGCAGTCCATTTTTTGTTGTCAACAAATCTATTCAAGTCTATGTCGTTACTGGAGGTCCATCTGGTTCCTCCCACATATAGGCAGATCTCTTGCTTCATTGTCCCCTTTTTTGACACATTTTGTCCCCCTGTACTAGCTTTATATGTAATCTGGAGCACAGGACACTGATAACAGCATGAGCGCATTTAAAATGTAAATATTACAAATATTTGAGCCATAGTCTATCAAAAGTAGACTGAAAAATGTGCTACTCCAGATGATCAGTCAATGGGACATCACCCAAAGGTCATTTGTCCTGTGACTGCTTCCCCACCAGATTCAGTAGATTCTACAGCCAGTTAAACAATTTGACCAGGAAAATGCAAACAAGAATCACTAGACATTTTCCCTCAATTTATTTTCTGGCAGATGATATTTGAGAGGGGCTCATTAGATTAGATTTTTATTTCTTTTTTAGACAAAGGGGTCATATTTTCTTTGTACAGCTAGAAAGCAGAGAGAATCAGCAGAAGCTGAACAACATAATGAACTAGTCCTGCAGATAGTTTTGGTGTACTGTTTTTCTTCCAGCCCAACATTACTTAATGCAACCAAAGCAATTACAAAATAGAAGATATTAAAACGGTCTCTGTATTTTGGGATGCTCAAACAGGACTAGTTGGGGAAAGGTGCAAAAAGACTTTTGTACAGTCCATTAAGATCCCAAATGCTTGTAGACCATCAATACAGTCTCTTACTTGAGCAGTTTTAGATATAGACAAAAGGGAAGCATTCGTTGTGGATATTTCAAGATATCACTTGGCAACACTGACCTAGACCCATTTCTTTTTTTTTTTTTCCTTTGGAGATTTGTCTGCTATCTCCATCAGTCTTTTCCACAGCCACTCTTAGTTTCTCTTTTTTCTTAATTGAGTCTTTTTCCACTCAGAAAAATGAAATTGGACATCCATGTTTTTATTCTGTTTCTTTCAGAATGTAACTTCCATCAGTTAACTCCCAGTCAGCTCATCCAGAATGTTGTTAACATCACAGTCAGCACCAAGGTTTGCAGAGCATTAATATCTAAGGAGAGATGCTGCTAGATATTTTTCATCTAGTCTAGCCTAGAGTGCTATCTTTGGTCAGATGACTATGTAGCCTGGGGGCAGTGCTGGTTTTGTGCACAAACCATCTGTGGCCCTGAGCATGTGCACTTAAGTTTCTTGTTCTTTGCAGGTCTATATCCCTACCACAAAATTGGGGGGAGGAATTAAATTGCCCCTGAAAGGGATGCATAAATTGAATTAGGAAACATAGCCTTCAAGCTCATGCTTCTTATTTTGTTGCTGGTAAAACAGTTGGAAGAGAGATGTAAATGTGTGTTGGAAACTCCTCTGCTTATATATAACCCTTTTAATAACAAATGCAGTACCAGAATAACCAACTCCTCACATTACACACCAGCTGTTTAGAATTTTTCCTTTATCTGGAATGCATGGCAAGGCTAAATTCTAGGGAAAACCATCTTGTTTCCTTCACCATCCTTCCTGAAATCACTTTTCTGACCTCATTCTTCCACAGCATATTGCAGAAATCCTGCATGTGTATTTTTAGTCCTCCTTTTAAAATATGAATTTAGATCCATCCTCAATTTTAAAGGAAATATGAATCTAAAATAATTTTTTTTTGTTTTGGGGGGAGGGGTTGTCTTATGTAGCTTTCCTTTGAAGGGCTGACTTGACTCTCAGTCATTAATCTCTTTAATCTCTGAGAGAAATAACAATGGTTTAAAAGGTGGGGCATTGACTGTCTTTCTTGTACAAATTCAGATCCTCAGTCAAGGAATTTTCTTTAGACTCTTGCATTTTAACATGACAGTATTTTCTTCACTTATGGTCGCTAATATAATTAAATAAGGCTTGTCAGTGAAGGTAGTTGTAATAAATACAATAGATATCACTGTTTAGATTGTCCATTTGCTAAATCAGCAGTACTCTGGACAGAATCCAGCAAGCTTTACCAGGTTTGGAAAACTTGTTTTTTTTTTATATATTTTTAATCTGAAGTCTTGTTACCTAGTTACCAGCTAGCCAGATGCTACAAATAGAATGCAAAATTTGGACCCAGATGTTTAATGATGCAGCTTTTTCTTGACACCTTTTTTTAAAAAATATACTTTCATTATCTTTAAATGCTGCTTATATATCATCTCTATGAAGCATGGGTATCATATAAACTCATAACTAAAATATCTTAAATTGTAAGTGGGATTATCTAAATACTTTTAGCAAAATATATTTTCACAAAGCCAGTTATGTTCATGCTCTTTAAAATATAAATTCTCTACTAAAGGGATCCCCTAACATTTGTTAGAATAAGACAAGAAAAATATTATGACAGCAGGCAAGTAAAAATGGTTATTCAGATCCTATTGAAGCCACAGAAAAAATAAAAATAGATGTTTGTTCCTGGATTAAATTTAATCCAGGAACAAACAATTAGGAGCTGTCCAGAGCTATGTTATCATGTTTCTTTTGTAAGGTATTTTAAACAGTTCATGAATTTAACTTTTCTTTAAGTTATGGTTTTATTTGATCCTTGACTTACTTTCTTTGGTAGCATTTAAATATAGCTAGTCCTACTAGGAGCAATAATAACAGTAATAAAATTTCACTGAATTGTTGTTCATTTCAGTTTTGTCCTTCCCTACAAAATTTCTGAACCAGATTTGTAGTCTGCAACAATTCAACTATAAGAGGTACCCTTGGTACGATAAGTGAACCAGTGCTAGGGACTGAAGAGATATGACAAATATTCTTATCATGATGTACAGGAGAATGTAATTTTGTGTGATGCCTCCACTGCTATGTTTGCTTTCCTTTCCCCAGGTCCAAGACTAAGGTTCAAATGTAACTCCCCTTTAAGTGGGTAAGCAGCCTAACTATTCAATGGCATTTCTGGATAAAATTGATAAACAGCAGTAGGGGCAGAATTATACAACTGTAGGCTGGGAAGGGGTCTTAAGATGCCATCTAGTTCAGCCTCCTGCTTAAACTATCCTAACCCAGAACCCACTCCATGAGCCTCAGAATCATGTTCCCTTGGCTTCCTTTCCTTCTGGCCCTGCTTTATCTTTCTCTTTTGGTTGCCTACTGGGCCAGCTTCCGCACATGGAGTGTAGCTCCATTTTTAGCTCCCTTAGCTCTGTTTTACCCATGGTTAGCTTATTAGGATCCTCTGAGAAGTATGAGGTATAGGTTCAAACCCCCAGTGGCCTAAAAGATGAGAAGCTCTTCTCCGCTGCCCCCCACATACTTAAGCAGATATGAGACTTCCTGAGGGAATTAGAATCCAAAATCTCTGCAACTGGCCTGACATGTTACTTGCATGTCAGTTATCTGCCTAAATATTATTTGCCTGTCTAAAGATGGAGTTGTATTTGGGTCCACTTTCTTACAGAAACTGAGGTATCTTTTTATTATTGTCTGATGTGTAGATGAAATGAAATTTGAGAAAAAATAAGGATTTAACTGAGTAGGTTAGGACAATGATTAAAACTTTAGTTTGAATACAGGTAGTGATTGCAGAAATCATTGAAAATTGGAATAAACGGATAGGGAAAATATTGGGAAAGAATTCCAGTACTGACAGACTTAATTCTTTTATCTATTCTAAAAGAAAGATGCCTGAGATTAGAATAATAAGTATTAATGAAAAGAGGCCATGTTTTCAGTAAATGTTTCCGAGCTTCCTCTGTTAAAACCATTTTGTCAACAAATTGAATTTCTCAGTGATGTGGACCAGCTAATTATTTCACACAATAATGGAGATTTTCAGTTTTGAAGCTAAGTGACAGTTTTTACAAACAAAAGAATTGTCATGTCAGATCAGTGTTCCATGTATCATAGCATCTTTGATGTTTGTCTAGAAAAGCTGTCTTTGTTCCCGTTGTGGATGTCTGTGGAATGGTCTGCCTATAAAATGAATTTGTTGCTAACCCCAAGCAGTTAGAGATGAATGGTTGTGCTTTGGGGCATAATCCAACCTGCCCCCCCCCCCCCCCCCCCCCAGTCTACTATAGATGGTCTAGTTATTCTTATACATCTCCTAATTCTTGCTTTTTCCAGTTCTGCTCAGCTCTTAGATGGAAGTGAAAGTCACACATTTAATTATGAATTGTATACTCTTAAATACATTTCAGTTGCTTGTACATTTAGTTAAATTTTATTGACTGCCAGATTATTCAGAAGAATAATTCAGATGTGAAATCAATTTGTATAGACCTGAGGAAAAAATTGCATATTCTTCCTGCTTCTTCCCAGAACACTTTTGTTAGAAAGGTATAGTCCGTGTGTAAAACCAGCATAATTTAAGTTTCCAGCATTTATCTGTTGAAAAGCCAGAAGTTTCTTTAATTATAAATGCTACTACCTTTGTTCTTTTTTTTTTTCCTGAAGTAGCAATAAATACTTATTGATAATTATACTTCTATATTAACTATAAGAAGACTAAGTAAAACGAACTTTTTTTTCCCTTCTCTCCTCTACAGAAGCAACCATGGGGTGCATCAAAAGCAAAGAAGACAAAGGTCCGACAATGAAATATAGAACTGAAAACACTCCAGAACCCGTTAGTTCCCATGTCAGCCATTATGGATCAGATTCCACACAAACAGCACAGTCACCCTCAATAAAGGGACCATCAGTTAATTTTAATAGTCATTCTGTGACTCCATTTGGAGGACCATCGGGGATGACGCCCTTTGGAGGAGCATCATCTTCATTTTCAGCTGTGCCAAGTCCATATCCTAGTAGTTTAACAGGTAAGTTTTGTTTAAAATAGAAGTTTAACCTGTACATTTGACAAGTTTACATATAGAATATTATAATGTTATACCATGTATGTAGGAAGTGTGAGGTAAAAATAAATAATTTTTTCTGAAGGCTTCTACTTTTTATGATCGGTAATTCAGCTCTTTCCTACTAGTGCATGTCATTCCAAAGCAGCGGGCTGGAGTCATCCAGCTTGAGTTGGGGGCGAGCGGGCAGACAGCTGCTAGGACCCAACCACTGCCACTTCTGCTTCCTCCTGTAGCGGTACAGGGAAAGCAGCTAATGCCAAAAAACCTGCCACCAAATGCTACCAAAGTCCCATGTCCATAGGATGAATTAAATGGCTCTGCAAGCCATATTGTGCCTATGAACCATAGGTTGCCAAATCCTGTTCTGCAGACGCCTGCAAAGAGAACTATAACAGACATGAGATGGTTTAATCCATCACCATCCTCTTCTCTTGCATCACCATCCTCTGATGGAAGTGAACTAATTGAAGTTGAATCCAGACAAGATAGAATTGATGGTGGTTAGCAGACCTCATGACTTGAAGGGTGATAAGGACTCCCCTTGTCAATCAGCTTTGCAGTTTTTGGGGTGCTCCTTGATCCTTTGCTGCATCTGATTTCTCAGTTTGTGGTGATGGCTAGGGCAGGGGTGGCAAAATAAGGCCTGCAGGCTGGATCCAGCCTGCCAGTTGATTGTATCCAGCCTGTGGTACTCCACATGGGGCCAAGCCTTGCCCCTTCCCACTCCAGGCAGCCCGCCCCATGCCTGCCAGTGATATTGCCCTGGCCCTTGCCAACATGCACAGCTTCCTGGCGGGGTTGCTTCCACTGCTGCTGAAGCCACCCAAGTACTGTTCAGCTTCCCCTGCCTCCAGTGGCTCTTCCCCCTCGTGCCCCTGCTGCATTGCTCAGGGGGCTCCTGACACAGCATATGAGCCTCCAACTCCATCTTCCAATCACCTTTCACCCACTCAGCTTCTGGGGCAGGAGCCACCTGGCTGCAGATTCCCCCCCCCCAACCTGACTGGGAATGTGGTACCCAGCATAAGTCCCCCCCAGCTTCCACCACTTCCTCACATTTACCTGCTGTCTGGACAGCACAGCAGGGGCAAGAGGAGGAGATGCTGGAGGCAGGGGAAGCTGAGCAGTACCCAGGCGACTGCAGCAGCAGTGGGAACAGCCCTGCCAGGAAGCTGTGTGTGCTGGCTGGAGCTGGGGTGGTGCCATTGGTGGTTGTGAGCATGAGCATGGTACAGGCTTTCCCAGACAGAGCTCAGCCCCATGTGGAGTGCCAAGGGAGCAACCATGGGCTGGATGGGGAGGGTAGCGGACAGCACCTGCATCTGCACTGCACCACCAGGCAAGTTCTGTTGCATATGCCCCCTACCTCTCTCCGCCCCCCCACCCCAACCTAGTTTTCAGCAAGTAAGCTATTTGCTGAAGAATATTAAATGAAGTTCTCTTGGCAGTCAAATCTCTGGCAGTATGTTCAGCCCTCAAGGCTTTGCTCCTCTCATCAAGTGATACAGTTCATAAGTGACAACACCACAGCCATTTACAGAGTGCACAGAGTTGCACTGTCACTTACCTTTCTATGGCTATGGTCCTAAAATGTTGGATCCCATCCCATAGCCCTCTAGCTAGCAAGGAAAAATAACGTTACAGGCAGATGTGTCAAGCAGAATTTCTGAGCTGGTCTGCTTTCCACTTCAATCAGTATAACCCCCTCCCAGTTCTTTCCATTACCCAGTTCACTTTGCAAACAAATTCATAGACACTCTTTTAGATGATAAAAGGGAGAACAAGCAGTTTCTTCAGAGTTTTAAGGGAAAAGACTTCAGCAATAGAGTTGGTCAGAAAAAAAATTTCAAAGCAGCTTTCTATCAGAAAACTTTGTTTTGATTAAGCAGTTTTTTGGAGGAAATCACATTAATTTAATTTTGAACACATCAGAACATGTTTTTGTTTGCTCTTGATAAAATTGTTATATATATCCAAAAATCAATTTTCTGATCAGCGCCAGTCAGAAAGAAACCAGGATTTAGATAGAAGAGGATGTATACAGAGTCATGTAACTTGAGAAGTCTCCCAGGTTTGTTCATTTGTTACCAGAGCTGAGTGTACAGACGTTCAAATTATGAGGTCCTAAAGAGCACAGAGCTTGCAGTGCTGACACTATGCAGCGAGGCGAGGGTCCTGTGCACACAACTCAGTGTGCTGCTAGCTTCCCTAGTCTGTTTGGTGACAAATAGCAGCAAGGCATAGGGCAGCCCAGATTGGCTGACACAGGCTGACCATGGGCAGTCTGTTTCCCTGCACCACAGTGGAGGGGGTGTGTTCTGCTCTCTGCTGGAGCAGTGAAGTCCAATGAGTAACACATTGTCTCCCTCAAGGAAGCGGATGCTGGAGATCTATGCTGCCTTCTGAGAGAAGCCATAGCATGTTAAGATGTTTTCTTTCCCAGGAGAAATTCTCCTGGGAGTGATTTAAACTTGATTGTTCTCATGTTATTTTTTCTCCTGGCCATTTTTACTTTGGGGGGAAAAAGCCAGAATACTCGAGGTTTCTCCTGGGAAAGCATCATCTCTCCCAGGAGAAACTGAATGTCTGTACAAGGCCAGACAACAGCATGTTCCAGGTACAGGTGTCCCCAGCATCCTAGCACCTGCTGTGTTCAGTTTATTCTCCTGCTGCAGAGAAGGTATCCCTAGGGTCCTAGCATCTGCCTTTTTCTGTCTGTTCTCCTTCCCGCATCTTCACTTCTCCAAGGACTGTGCGCCTGCCACCTGCAGCAGAGGCTAAGTAGTTGTAAGCATTGACTGGTAGTGGCAAAAAGGATGCCAACCCCTGCACCACTAGGTCGTAAATCAATCTCAGATTTACCTTATACCTGTGGTTCTCAATCTCATTAAACTCAAGCGACTCCTCAGAAAATGTCAGCTTTTAGCTTTTCCTTTTTGTTTTTTGACTACAGGAAAATAATAGAACAGTTTTTCTGTTGCAAAGACCACCCAGGCCAGAATGTTTTTGACACTATGGATTCCTGTTTGAAAACTCTGGGTTTATCTTGTGAATCGTGCATGTTTACCATGGTTAGGTGTGCAATATTGAGCAGCACCCTACATCACCCTTAAATGGATGTTATGGCACTCCAAGTTTTTGTGGCATCCTGGTTAAGAATCACTGCTTTAGACAAATACCTATTGAAGAGATAAGTAACAGCTGAGTTCTTCGCCAAGTTGTGAGATAGTTTGGGCTTAACTGTTGTACTTCACCACACAATCTGGGACAGCGGTGTCAAATATACAGCCTGTGGGTCAGATCCAGCCTGCAAAGCCCCATAATCCCATCCCTAGTGCTTTCCCATTGACTCAAATTCAGTGCCTGGGAGGTGCACAGTACCTGCTGGGGCTGGCATTCTGGACTAGGCTGGCAGATGCTGCGAACGCTGGTTCAGGCATATGGGGGAGGGGAATCTATTGGCCTATGGACTGGCCATGTGCTATTCATGTGGCCTGCGGGGCCAGATGAGTTTGCTACTTCTGGTTTAGGAAATTGTTTTACAGCCCATATTTTATTAAAGAATTCATCGTCCGTGTTCCCTCTGAAGATACCATTCACTGTTCTTTGGGAATACATGAGAGTTCCTGAACAGAAAGTAAGGTTATTTTGTTCTTTGAGAGCTCCTTTCTGAATTCTTTATGGTGGAAAGAAGGATTTTTAAATCCTTTCAAATCAACTATAAATGTAAATAGCGTGGCTTGTTTCTACTAGTGCTGACTTCATATGGTCTTGAGAAGAATTGAAGAACAAGTCTTCAATTAAGTCAGCTGAAGATTGCCTAGCAATTTTGATCTCTCACCAAAGTATCCCAATAATTGAATGACAACATTGGAGAAATTTAAGATGGAAAAGACCTATTGAATTGCACAGTCCCTCTTTATGTATTTTATACTGTTCAAACTACCTTAGATTGAAATGTGCTAAGTAGTGGGCCTTCCAATCTCCCCACACTGTTCCCTTGAAACTATTCTACAGCCTAATAGATTCCAGCAAATCTCTCTTTAATATGTGTTTTTCTATTTTTAACTTCATCCAATTTAATAAATATATTCTCTTATTCCTACTGAGTGCTTATATTTTTCAGATATTTGAAGCCTGTTAACACATCCTTCCTGTATAACTCTGAGGGCCAAATATTACCATTGTACTAGAGATGCCCTGCCCTTGTACCTCACTCAAGGAATACACCCAGTAACAGTCTCTGGGCCTGGGGTAATTAGCCAGAAGGGCTTGGGGGAGCAAATGACAAAAGGATTGGCACAGTATGCACACTTGTCCAATGAAGAATCTCAGCGCTGACCCTAGAATGATGCAGCTGTGCATCTTCGTAAAATACAAGTTCCTTTCCTTGTATGTTATGGTTGGCAGATTGAGTGGAATTAGGATTAATCCTTCCCATTTTTTCTCATTTCTTTTTTTAAGATACCAAGATCTATGCAATATATTTTCTTTTATCTAGTTCCAAAAAGTAGAGAACTAACTTGTGGGAATGCTTTGCAACAAAACTAGTGTATAAACTTCAAATCTATGGTTGCAAGTTTAAACAACGTGACTTTGTTTTCTTCTATGAAGTTTTTAAAAATAATACCTTTTAAATACGTTTAAAAAAACAAACAGTTTGCACATGCCAAGAATGGTCAGATACAGAGCCTCTGTCCTGTGCTTGCTCTGACCAAGGTTAATTCTTTACTGAACTGTTATGCTGAAGTTGTAGAGTTTGGGATAGAGGTTGTTGATATCCCACCTTATTTGGGGACTCTTTTACAGCTACTTCTTGATTAATGTCGTTAAGCAAGTTTCTTGAAAAATGAACCTTGTCATTAGGTTCTGGAAAAATGTGACTTTAAGTGAAACAATGTTAAGCGAATCCAATTTCCCCGTAAGAATTAATGTAAAGGGGGTGGGGGTTAGGTTTTAGGGAATTTTTTTTTTTTGCCAGACAAAAGACATTATATACCCAGGTCTGCAGCCCCTTGCCCCTGCTCCCCCATGTTGTAGCCTCAGGTAGAGTGGCTCCCTGCTGCCATATGCAATCCTGGGGGGATCCTCACCCCACCAGATCTGTACACAGGGCAGGCACAAGCTGCGGGTGCAAGCTCCCACCCTACTTCCCTGCCCTGGGACCTCTGCAGCCCTGCAGGTGTGACCCAGCATGGCTGGGGACAGCAGGGCCACACAGGGATCTCCTTGCCACTGTGAGCTGCACTGGTGATGTGCCCCCTGCACCTGCCGCTGTTTTGAGGTTGCAGTGAAGGCAGTGGTGTGGGGCTGCACCCCTCAAAGCGGCAGCAGGTGCAAGGGGCGCGTCTCCAGGGCATCAGCAAGGAGATCCCTGCACAGCCTCACTGTCACCAGCTGCGCCGA